ATTTTGGACGGGTTAAACTTGTCATGGTTAAAAGATATTCAATGGTGTAAATTATCGTCCAATTGGTATCACATGCCCTCCTTGTTGGTCTTTCCCATGTGGGTTAACTTATATTCAGGTCCTCCTCTTACTGATATGGCACAAGTCCAATTATCGCTATCAAATATAAAGGTGATATCGCTTAAAACATCTAAATTAGGTGTATTCATATTATTTTTTTCTGGTTGATAAAAGACACTGTATAATTGTTATTGGTTTCCTTACTGAATAAATGTAGGTCTGGCGTTTTTCACTCCATTTATAATCACTATATAAACGGGGGCAGGGGTATTTTTTCCTATTCGTCATACTTTCCATTACTTCCGCCCTTACTCTCTCATGTCTTTTTTTAAATTGTTCGTCGGTTATTGTTCGCATGCTATTTATTAATTTCCTCCGCACTTAATTCTTGTGGTCCTTCTATTTTAATTCCGCCATGAGAAGTCTGGGAAAACTTTAAATATCGTAATGCGTTAATGGTCTGAATATCCATTAAATACAATTTTCATTTTTTAAGGTTTTTTTCATTTACTTCTATTTTTCGCCTTCTCAAACTTTCCTCCAATATTTCTTTATCGGTGGCCTTTTCTAATAATATTTTTCTTGTCATTCTTTTCTTATAATTTTCTCGCCTTTTGGTGTAAATAAAAAATCTCACATGCTATTCGCCAATTGTCTTAAATGAGTTTCCATGGGTTTATTTTCTAAATATTTAATGGTGAATAGTCTGCCCGTGGGGTTTTTGCCTAATCAACATTCAATATTTTTCCCTTTGATACAATAATACTTCCTAACATGTTTATATAATTTTGTTCGGTATTTTTCTTGTGTAGTTTCCATAATTATTTATCTATTATATATCATCTAACCAAATTAATATATCTTTGGTATTTTTTGAAAACAAAATTAATCCGCTTTCCGTCATATTGTCTAAAAGTTTTTTTATCAAACTCATTCCAAATCTTTTCCGCGGGCCATTCTTTATCCCCTTCTAAACTACTTTTCCAAACACTAATAACGCGGTATTGGGCGGGGTTTTGGTTCTTTAAGAATACTTGGTAAAAATACGGGTCCCTTGGTTTATATTCTTTGCGGTCGTCGGGGTAGGTTCTTTTTTCTTTAATGTCCTCAATCTCCCCTATTACTGAATATTCTTTGGGTTCGTATTTTTTGCGTTCTTTTACTTGGTTTTCTGTTTTAATATTATTGAAACTATTATTCGTCATGGTGTTTTTTT